ACTGTATGGCGTATTAACCCAATCGGTGTAAATCTTCATTAACCCAATCGGTGTAAAAAAGGTGGATGGTAAACCCTATTTCCTTTCATTTATATAAATGAAAAATAGCAAAAGTAACTGACCTAAAATTGAACCCTATGGGGTACCCCAAAAGCAAGTCTTGTCGATTTAAGTAAACTTTTTTTTCGATATTCGTATTTCATTTGTAACTGAATTTCGTTTTTGTATAGATAAGAGTTGATTGTTTGAATCATTTAAAAGTTTGGCCTTTTACTACTTTTACTTATAAGTTTTCTTTACATGTACTTGTAGTCTAGTCAAAATACTGAAAGACCCGCCACAAATTCCTTTAGTCTAGTCTTGAAGGAATTATTAGTGAGCAGAAATTCGGCCGTGTATCTGATATCACTCGTCACTTCCGATTCAGGAAACCTGTATTACTCAGCTACCGTAGCAATGATCTCTATGTTAAAATTATATTTGGAATGTGTTTAACCAGCTCTATCACATATGTGATAATGACTGGCACCAATATTGTCCTTTAAGCCAATTTGGACGTTAAACCACATTTCGTTTACCTTTAACTCAAAGAAATATATGTTTTAATGTAATTAACATAAGAAATGGAAAATATTGCCCTCCGCCAAGACAAAAATCAACGAAAATAATTTGTATAACAACATTGACACCCCATCCCCTCTTGCACTACAACCTCTACTACCAGCGCAACCTACAACACCACGGCCGCCACCATACTCAAATAAAATAAAATAAAATCAATATAATTAATCCCGAGTGGAAATCTCCGTACTCAAACGAAGCATCTTCTAAAATCTCCAACTATATTAAATTGCTTTTTCATATCCTGGACCTCTTTTTTATGGAATAAACAACCAAAGTCAATTATTGCCAGAGGGCGAGTAAAACTCAAAACAGTCAACGGAGAGAGAGAAAAGGGAGAGAAAGAGATAGATGGGATTAGACGAACACTCGACACAAACTATAATTCGCTTGCACATAAGGTCTTAAGCATTAAGAGGGAACTAGCAGACCAGAGAAATTCCACGAGGTTAGGCGGCGACCCTATTGCTTGTCATATACCAGGCCACTTGACTCAATGACAGAATTTATGATCTTAAGTGCACGCGTTCACCATTCGGTTTTGTCTGCAGAATCACCTCGGTGGAAGCGGACGTTAAATAAACCCATTTCACACACATTCGGCCACTCACCTCCTCCCCACCCCCAAACCCAAAGAACGATAAAATTAAATAAATAGTAGTATTTGTTACGTGGTGAAGCACATAAACCGGGAATATTAGCTGACTACTGGGGCATTTGCCATGACCGAACGCTAAGCATTTCTATTTCATATATATAAAAAATTATTAAAATAGGGTTGAACCATATGTTAGTGCCGAAATAACCTAGTTTGTGTCGTGTGGACGTTAATCCCCATGTCTCTTGTATTATTAATATGGCATGGTGATCAATAAGGGAAAGTTAAGGATGCATTACGCAAGATTTAGATAAAAAGCTGACAGTTCTCGCAATAATAGTTTTAAAAAAGATAATGAAAAGGAAATATGTTAAAAATTTCAGTCAAATTACTTCATTCTGAGAGGAGTTATCGTTGTTTACAGAACAGTAGTCTCGATTGTCATTTTTAAATTAAATTTTAAATTTGAGAAAATCAAAGCCATCCGAAGTTCTAGGCCAGGGGCCTGTTTCACGAAATTTCAACTAAGATAAAATCCAAATTTTAGTAATTTGATTGGATAATATTAGATTGATTGGCCATTCAAAATTGAAGTATCTACTAAAATTTCGATTTTATCTTCAGTTAAGATTTCGAGAAATAGGGCCCTGGTATGTAAATAAATGTCGCATAAATGATTTATATAACATTTGAGATCAAAGGAAAGATCTACAATAGGCAAATTTAATTCTTATATAATTTAACCAGCATAACATCCTTTATACTCAATTATTATAAAATCTCTAAGTTTACAACATTTTCTATGATTAAACTTTAACGATAAAATCTCAATACTTTTCACTACCTTCGGCTTGATTAATGGATGTTAATTTCAAATGGTTCAGTCGAACAAATTAATAATTTGTATATTTTGTTTGAAAGAAAGGTATTTTTACAGGCAAAAAAGAAAATGTGTTCGACGTTTTTTAAATGTAAGATGATGCTGATTTCATATGGCATACGAATACAAAACACGCTGATATGAATATTATATGAATGGATTTATATTGTTGCAATGTATTATTATCCTTAAACATTCGTGGTAAATATCATATGACATACGAATACAAACCAAGCTTGTGTGAATATTTCAAAAATTTAGTCAAGGTATTGATGTAATGAAACTATACACCAAGTTTCATCACTTTAACTAATTAGAACCAAAGTTATCGTGTCCAAGAGTATCAACCACAGAGTAAAAATACACTGAGTAACCCAGCGACGCGCAATGCATCTTGGGAATTGTCTGTAATAAACACACACTGACAGTTCGCTCAACGACGTTACGATATCTATATCGATGAACTAAATCTCTTAAATTTCGTAGTTTTATAGTATTTTCGGTAACAAAACTACCGAGAATTATCACATACAATCATACGTTAGTTGTGTGTGTTTTTCGGGAATTTATAAAACATGATTCATATTTTTAAAACATGCATAGGTAAAGCGTGGTACAGCCCGGAATGAAGTGAGAGACGGCATTTGTGACGGTTTATGAATTGATTTATAAGGCCGTAAATTATTGTCGATTTTAAAAAGTTTTTATTAACTTTAAAACTAATCCACCAAATACTTGTTGTTTCGATTCCCAGATTTGAAATGTAATTTCCATACACCTTAAAATGGACCATTTGAAAATATCAAAGTGACACGCCCTTTTTTGGATAAGGCTTATTTTACTCAACATCAACATGATTTACCTTTGTCTTCTAGAGCTTATTACTATGTGATTTTTTCTTATTTATTTTAGGTCAATAAAGTAAGCTTTCATTAAAATATAAAAAAATAATTTAAGAATATTAAAATCGAATTTCAAATAGGATATAACGTTTTCCAATAAACAGATTTGAGCCGATGGTTGTTTTCCAAGATAAAATACCTTTGGCCCCAACGTTGACTCACTGTGTGCTTTTATGATTTTTGTTCTATTAATTAATGTAGGCTTTCATTTTTTTTAAATTATTGAGAGGAATCCTCGATGATTCAAGGCAATAGTCGAAGCATCAGTGAACATTCACCAAACTATTCTTGACGCTTTATAAGTTCCATTTCTCATGGGACTACTCCGTTGTTTTGGGCAAAAATTCATATTGCTGTTGTTAATTTCACTCCACATTTGGTTTGTCTTAAACTCGTTAGTTGTGTTCACAAACATCCTGGTTCGTTTTATTCGTCTAATTTATTATCTAAAACATCATGGTGAAAGAGCAGATAAAATGGTCATGTATATCAAAATCTTATACCCATACTTTTTCTCGACTCTTTGATGAAAATGGGAGGGTATACACCGATACACGGCCACTTTTCACGGCCACTTTATACTATTACTAGTATAAATTAATCCATTGGCATTTTCTACACTACAAACTTGAGAACTCTACAATTCCAACTTGTCTTCATTTAATGGCTGTTCTTGTTTTTGTCTGTCAGTGGATGTCAATACCTCGCGAAGTTAATGAATTGTTCTGTGCGGACATTAGCAAATGTACCTTGCTTATCAAAAAAGTTAAAATCCAATCTTTTGTACTGATCTCGAAGTGTCACCATATTCCTATGCAATTGGTATTTTTCCTCGTGTTTGGCAGAATTCGACTCATCTGCATGGCTTTAATTTCTTGTTCTGTGAAGGATCGGGCTTCTAAATCTTCGCGATCATAGAAATCTCTTGCAGAACTGATGATATTCTCGGTCTTAGAAATATATATCTGTAACATTATAAAGTAGGATTCTTCGACGAATTCCCGCATTCATTTCTGCCAGGATGTTGGCAAAACAACAAGAAATGGCTACATGTATTGTACAAAATGATTGGATGACGTTTGCTTTTCTCAACCAATCAATATCCCTGTTATGAACATTTTCCCTGACCTGATTTAAACCGTGAAATGCACGTGCGGTGTACTGACATTATTTACCTGAGTAGAAATAAGCGTTTGCGATGAGATAATTGGGGGGGGGGGGGGCTCTAAATGGGAAACTTTGATAAATTTGTGAAATGAAAAATGCTTTTGAAATTGGGAAAAATAGAAAAAATCTTTATTTCGCGAAAAAGTATGTTTTGAGCCCCACTCAAAAAAAGAGACGGTGTATCAACCCATACACCTTGAAAACATGGTATATAACTATTACATATGTACTTGAAGCCCGGATATAATATTATATATACTTTAGCCAATTGTACACCAATCTGATTAAAATTATTCGATATATTATGACCGTGCGGCGGCGTCCATGATGATCAACAAACTAAACTTGATTACCCAATCAACAACATTAATCTCCCGAGAACATGGTGAGATTAACATAAGTTATTTGTGTTGACAAATCTAGTCCGAATTGAAAAAAAACCCTACTAATACAGGATCACTCTAAATTTAGTTTTCCTCAGTTTTCTGAATAGTTGGAAAAGAAAAATGTTACTTTCTTAGTGATTGATATGTGTTGTATCACCCCAAATAACAAAACATGCCACACATAATATCTTACAGCGCTGGCTTTAAAATGTTCATTTTATCGTATTCAACGCTTTTAAAAAAGTTTGTTACATTCTTTGCTTCAGTTTCATACGTACATACAATAGTTTCGATAAAAATGTGTAAGAAACTATTGTATGCACATATGAAATTGAAGCAAAGAATGTAACTTGGTCAATGCAAATTTTCTTTTCACCTTTTTATATAATAAATAAAGGATATGCTTCATATACCTTACCAGTTTCGGTATTTACGCGGCTTTGTTAAACGAAAGATAGTCGTGCAGAACGAACAAAATAAAAAATTTTCTAGCTATTTGAAGCTGCTGGGTAAAGTAAATACTTTTATTACGTTTTTATATATTAATAGTTATTATATATGCTCAATGTACCTTATGCCAGTTTATATAATTGACTCTCAGTTGAACAAAAATTGCTCATTTGTTGTTTTTAAACAATAACCAGATGGGCGAAGCAATGTGAGAAATATTCTTAAAAATAATAGTTACATTTTAGTTTTTCAAGTGTTCGGGCACGCCTCAAGTTTCATTTATAATCGTGGGACGTGTAGTATTATGAAAAACCTTAAAGTGGAAAGCTAACTAAACAATAGCAATATTGCAAGTTTATACAGAATTTCGGATAATATTTGAGACACCCCTACCCAAAAAAGGAAAAGAAATTGCAGTAAGACAGCAGGGACAGATACCCTCTGTATCCACGTAGAGTTTGTTACATAATTCCCATCCGTGGAATAATCGTTATTTTGAAGGTTTTGATGTTTATTAACACAAAAACAATGTTGACATTTTGTCTGAGTCAATCTTCATTATGGTGACTGTTAGCGACCATTCTCTATATATTCTGGACACGTCAAGTGGAAATAATTGCATTTTGTCGACTCATGCAATTAAATGGGGTTTAACGTTCTACTGTTCTTCACCGACATGACCAATTGAGACAGGCATATGCTATACAGTGTGCGATGAGGTAAATTTTGGCCAGACAGCGGCTCTACAGCCTGCTCTTATATTGAATTACAACTGATAAGGTACATTTTACGTGTTCGACAAAGATACACTAGAGTCTGGTTTTCGTCTAATTCAGACAACTATACGTTGTCCGTTGCTGTGCGAGCCTGCTTCTTACTCACTGAGCTACAGTGGCTATCCAATTTCAAATCAAGACAAACCATTACCCAAATAAACGTGTACCATTCAAGTAATTATTTATTCGAGCGAGTATACGATATGTAGCTATTATATGTTTGGTATAAATGTCTGACACCTTACTTGTATTTCGCTCGCAAGAATCCTCCTTTCTCTTTCGCCTTTGTATGCCACTGTATGGTTGTCAGCTGTGGGATTTCTCCTATGGGTCCATTGCAAGGTTTTACTGTACTTGGCGCAAGTGCACCCATAGGCTGTTGTATATCCCACGTCGTACACATAATGTCCTTATTCCATTAAAGATACATTATGAGAGATTAGATAAAGGGTTGATTATGGTCTGGATAAGTTAATTAATGTCTAATTAATAATTTAGATAACATTTCAGGCCTAAAGAAAGGCCTACAATAGGCAGATTTAGCTCTTGCATAATGTATGTTTAATTTGTCTCTATAGAGGCTCAGCTTCACAAACGATTTGTAAAACAGTTTATTAGTTCAATTCAAAATATACTATTCAAAAAAAGTAGGGGATATTTGATTTTGGGGGCATAATACTAAAATATGCAAATGACTACGAAAAAAGTCACTATAGAACCTAACAGAAGAAACATTTCCAGTTACATGTGACGTCCAAACGCACCAATAGCTACAGCATGGAATGCAGGTGATGCTTGGGATCATCATGGGGGTCCAACCCAAGATTTGCACGACTCTGACTTTGAATGTTACAGTCATTGTGGCATTGAATTCCAGGGTGGAAACATCAGTTTAATTGTTTTAGTGACCAGAAAACAAATTTTGATATGCGTCGGCTTACCCAAAATGAAAGGTTACGTGCCCTTGGCTTGCTACAGATCGGCACAACACAGGCGGTTGTGGCGCGGACGATGAATGTTTCTCAGTCTGTCATAAGCAGGCTATGGTCCAGATACCGTGATACACAATCTGTACAGGACAGACCACGCTCAGGTCGACAACTCAAGCCCAGGATCGATTTATCCGTACCTTGGCCTTGAGAAATCGTGTCATCACAGCAAATCAGATCAGCGCTCGTCTTCAAACAGACACTGGTGTGAGAGTGAGTGGCCAGACGATTCGGAATCGACTGCATAGGGGTCACCTTCGCGCCCGACGTCCTCGTGTGATCCCTTGTTTGAGAGATCATCACATTCAGGCAAGACGTCGTTGGTGTAGGGATCGTCAACACTGGGATAATCGACGCTGGAGCAATGTGATGTTTTCAGATGAGTCAAGGTTCACTGTTGATTTTTTGGACAGACGTAGGAGGGTGTGGCGTCGTCGAAACGAGCGCTTCCAAGACGTTAACGACATCAGACATGATCGATTTGGGGGTGTGGGGAGGCATCACTGTTGCTGGAAGAACGGCTTTACATGTTGTTGCAGGGCGTGTTACAGGCCAGTACTCCCGGGACAACATCTTGGCAGTCCATGTTGTGCCGTTCGCACGACGTCATGGCCGCCGTTTCATCTTCCAGGATGACAACGCAAGATGTCACAGGGCCAGGATCGTTACAGGTTACCTCCAACAACAGAACATCACCACATTACCTTGGCCAGCACTGAGTCCCGACCTCTCCCCCATCGAACATGTCTGGGACATGCTTGGACAGAGGTTACGTCAACGTCAACAACGTCCTGCCAATGTCCAAGAACTTGCTGCTGCGTTGCAACAGGAATGGGACAATCTGGACCAAAAGGACCTTAGACGTCTCATTAGGAGTATGCCACGTCGGATCAATGCTTGTTTGGCAAACAGAGGAGGATTTACCCGTTACTGACTTGGTTGTGATGCTGTGGTAACTTTGCTGTTTGACCCCGGGTATCATTTTACCCTTATAATGGTCAGTCTGTGCCTTACTTAGTCTAACGATCATTTGGAATAAATCGATGAATGTGAACTTCATTTCATTTTGTCATTTGTTTCTTCGTCAGTTTCATTAGGTGACTTTAATAACACTTAAAAATCAAATATCCCCTACTTTTTTTGAATAGTATAATAATGAATGTATTAAGATATGCGCCCGTAATGCCTTACATGGAAGTTCTTCTAATACTTGTAATAACATTAGTTATATCTGTAACAGATACGGCGTATCTAGATACTATTTAAATAATACTAGAAGAATGCCCGGCTTCGCTCGGGGGTCATAACCCCGAAACTTGAACTGGTAGACTAACGCCACCTGGCGTATGTTACTCCCCGGTCCGAGCTACCCCTATACCCCAAATTTCAGACTCGGGGCAGACTTAGTGTAGCCACCAACCCCGAACAGACAGACAAACAGACAGACAAACGACAGTCACAAATATTAGTATAGAAGATAGATAAAAGTAAATAAACTTTTAAACATGAATAAATAAATGAGATAATACCAACGTAAACCAGTAGCTGGTCAAATTGTAGATATGATAAATATGCGTGAGTCGCAAGAAACTTACACTATAAACCTCAGAATGCCTCGTTCGGCATTTCTGTCCAAACAAGGCAAAAGTGTGTTAAAATTTTTGCCTCGATTTTGCCACGTTGTAACGAGGTAAAAAAAATGCCTCGTTTGTCTGGATTCCAAAACGTGTTTTTTTTAAATTGGCCTGTTTTTTGAACGAGGTATTTTGTTCAGAGCGAGGCTGGGTAAAATTGCCTCATTTACTAAACGGGGTATTTGCTATCAACAAATAGAGCCATACAAATAATGTTCGGACCATCACGTGACTAATTTCAGATCTACAAAATAGATTATTTATTTGGGACATTATATTGTTCATAGTTATGGCTTACTATACTGGATAATAAATGCTTCCCAAGCGAAATAAAACATAACAATGTCACGTGACAATATTACATATGGCGGATAAAAGCGTTCTTTGATTACATGCTTTTTGGTTTAATTATTAAATAATACGACAATCTGTATTTATGGGAAAATGAGAATGAATTTCCTCAAATCCAAAAATAGATGACTGGAATATTACATATGGCGGATAAAAGCGTTCTTTGATTACATGCATTTTGGTTTAATTATTAAAAAATGCAGCCATCTGTATTTATGGGAAAAAGAGAATGAATTTCCTCAAATCCAAAATTAGATGACTGGAATATTTATTGAATGGAAAGTATTTATTTTTATAAACAAAGATCTTCGGATTTGCAGTGTTCTAGCTTGGGCGGATTTGTGATTTGAATCCATGTCACGGGGACAGTAAACAATTTGATTACGGTACACTATTGTAAACTTTTATAGGGTATAGGCCCTATTAATATTAGCTTCTGGTCACATCTGTATTATGATACTGCTAGTTACAATAAAATCATGCATTATAGCTATTTTTATTTATTTATTCTTGGTGCTTCAAATTCAGTTTGGTTCTTAGGGTGCATCAACATATTTACAAATATGTTTTAAAGCTTTAGGTCATTTTATTATATCTTTCTACCATAAATAATAGCCCGAATTTAAGTATACCAAAAGTTAAAGAAATATAATATACAGGAGGCCATAATTCTATAGAATACACATGAGGTCATACAGAAGGCCATAGTTCTATGAAATACACAGGAGGCCATACAGACGGCCATAGTTCTATGGAATATAATTAATGCTTCTGGCTGATTGACTTTTTGACCTGGCTTATCTATGATAAAATATACCCCCACCCCCAATCATTTGAACAGGGCATGCGTATATAAGCTGATGTGGAAAGATCCATAAGCTCTGAGATTTGCCACAAGAACTCGAGACTGCTGCACGTATACATTCAGCGGTGTTTGAGTTTACATCTATATCCAATAACTCCTCGATATACCATATATTAATATCTAACTTTTATATCCAATAACTCCACGATATACCAATTATTAATATCTAACTTACTGCACGATGAAATATCAATTTCTAAATTCAATACATTCTTAATCAAATTGAAAACATAAACCAAAACAAAAAATTTCCAATAATATCTATCTAATATATATAATATCTACCGTGTATGTAATATCTAGCAGGTATTGCTAATATATCTAATATCTACATTGTATGTAATATTGTTAAATAATAAACCTGAGACTTGGAACTCAACAATCCAGTTGGTCAAAGAATCCAGGAGATAAGAAGAGGGGTCCGTTCCTTCCTGGCGGAAGAGAAATTT